ACAATGTGAAGCCGGCCCTTGGCAAGATCAAGGACACCTATGCAAGGATGGCAGCAGCGGGCAGCAGTGTATCTCAGCTGCAGCAGTGCACCAAGATCATCTCGGTGTTGGACAACTCTTGGGACAACCTCATCCCCACCCTCAACTCTCAACAAGATCAATGGACACCTGAGTGGCTAAGGTAGCAGATTCTGCAGGAGGACTTCCGCAAACGCCATGTGGGAGGTGGTGCTTCCACTAAGACTGCTGAGGGGTATGGAGCTGCAGGTCGCGGCAGAGGAAGAGGGGGTTGGAGAGGCCGAGGCCGTGGGAGGAGCTTTGGCAGAGGTAGAGGCCGAGATGACTATAATGAGGGGCATGGGAGCTTTGGTGGCAGGGGGAGTACCAGAATGGAGGGCACCTGCTGGTACTGCAAGAGGTCGGGCATCCTTGGTTCAAGTGCTTCAGCAGGCCGGAGGGATGGGCACCTCCAGGCATGAAGCCACCCAGTGGTGAACGCGCACAAGGTGGCGCTGTGCAAGGCTCAGGTGCACAAGGTAATGCCTATCCTGGGATGTTTCTCATGGTGGAGGATGTGCATGGGCATGAGGGTGATGTGGGATCTGTGGGAAAGGTTGTGATGCACCCTCTCACGCACTGGGTGATTGATTCAGGTTGCACCAGTCAAATGACCTCGCGGGCAGATTTGCTTGATGAGGTAAAACCCCCTGGGAAGATTAAGTATGTGGCAGCAGCGTCAGGTGCTTTGCTCCCTGTGATTGGTGTTAGGAATGCCAAGGTTAAGGGAGCTAATGGGGAGCTTGTGGGGCTTGGGAATGTTCTGCTGGTTAAAGGTTTGTGTGCTAGCCTCCTCTCTGTGCGGCGACTGCAGAAGAGCAAGGCCGAAGTGACCTTTGGACCAACCAGCTGCCGTGCAAAGCTTGGGAAGAAGGTGCTGTGGAGTCTGGAAGAGGAGACCGTTGCATCAAGGACCTGTGGCAGCTGCCCATCATCCTGTGGAATGGGAAGACTCCAACAGCAGCAACGGCAGCAGCGGCAAAGGCAACTGAAGGAGGAGATGCAACTGCACCAACCGATGGGGTCCTGGAAGCAGTTAAGAGAGTGCAGCTATAGCAGACACATGGCGAGGTGCTCGCTGGTGTGGATGCGAGTGCGACATGGGCCAAGGCTTCATCTAGGAGTGGTGAGGCCGATTGGGAGACATGGCATGAGAGGCTGTGTCATGTGAACTTCCCTATGCTGCAGAAGTTGGTGAAGGATGGGAGCCTGAAAGGATTGGAGGTCAAAGGGGGAGTGAAGGAGATTGGGAGCTGCCCTATATGCTTGGAGACCAAATTCTCCAAGTTCCTCTTCAACAGCACTACAGGACCAGCTAAGACCCCACTTGCACTTGTGCACATGGATGTGGTGGGGCCCACAAGAGCCCCTTCCCTCTCAAGCAACCGCTATTTCTTGACAATTGTGGATGACCACACTCGAGCAGTGTGGGTTTACCCTTTGAAGAGCAAGGGGGAGTTGGCAGCAACTGTTCTTAAGAAGTGGATGCCTAGAGCTCAGAGGGAATGTGGACACAAGATGAAGGTGATCCGCAGTGACAATGGTGGGGAGTTCATTGGAGCTGATTTTGAGGGGGAGTTGAAGAGGAAGGGGATCCAGCATCCACTGACAGTGCCCTACAACCCGCAGTAGAATGATGTGGCTGAGAGGTTCAACAGGACCCTGCAGGAGGGGACACGCACTCTCATTGGGCGTGCAGGGCTACCTGATCCGTTTTGGGTGTCTGCACTGAGGCAGGTCGCCCTTGTGAAGAACAGGGTGCTGGCTACAGTTGGGGATAAGGAGTGGATCCCATATACCAAGTGGTATGGGAGTGCTCCAGCTATGAACATGCTGAGGGCATTTGGGTGCATGGTGGTGTTTCATGTGCCCAAGGAGAAAAGGGGGAAGTTGGAGGCTTCAGGAAGATGGGGTGTGCACTTGGGAATTGCAAAGGATCACAAGGGGTGGCTGCTGTTGGACTTGACCACCCAAAAGCTGACTGTGTCAAGGGATGTGAAGTATTTTGAGTCTCTGTACTACAAGGAATGGAAGCAGCAGCAAAAGAAGCTTCCATCTACACCTCTCATTGTCAAGGCAGATGAGGTGCAGCGGCCTTCAAGACAGGTGGAGGTTGCAGTGTCTGAGGAGGAGATGTCTGGGGTGAGTGAGGAAGGGGGAGCAGCTGAGGTGGAGCAGCCGCAGCAGCATGAGTCTCCACCTCGAGTTCTACACCCGCCTGAGCTGTTGTGTGATGTCATCATATGCTATCACATTCTGTCTGCCTCCCATCCCATGTTTTTTCAACTTGCATGTGTGGTTTGAATGTGCAAGCATTTGTGTGTGGTGTGTTCTGGAGTTTGGGAATGTGTTTTGTGTTATTCTGTCTGAGCAGGTATTTGTGATGATAGATCTTGAGAAGATCTTTCCGACGCAACAAGAATCGCTTCAATCGGAGCAAGAACGCGAAAGCTATGAAGATTCAAAGTTCATGAGCTTGCGTTACAATTGCGGCGGTTACTAAGTGAAGTTGTGGGGTGACTTTATATGGAGTTGGGACCTTTGGGGTTGGGGAAACTTGTCACTCTACTGTAACAGCTGCAAATTGGTTGGGAACAACCAAGCTAGGTTGGCAAGGGTGGCCAACTTGGATGGATTGGTTGGGAAGGGACAAAGGTCAAAGTTGAGGTTCCTATAGGGAGGGAATCTTTGTGCTTATGGGGTTTCCTTGGTTGGGGACTCTCTTGGGACCTTCCCTCTCATCCCTCTCTTCCTATCCCAACCTTTCTCTTGCTCCTTCTAATTCCTTGTGAGATTCTTGAACTTTGATTGAACTCTTGAGATTGAGTTAAGTTCTCCTCCTACAGCTTACCCCCTAGTGCGTCGAAAGCCATAGCGTCGCGAATACTTCATCAATCAACGTGATTCAAATTGGGAACGGTAGCTGAGATTAAGAGCTACAACATATCCAAGTTTCGCGACATTCCAACGGCTAGGTTTTTGTCGACGTCGTTTCTTGTGAAGACGACTTTTCTGTCCAGAATTTCGGATTTATATTTTGAGTAATTCTAGCTCCTAAGTTCACCTAGACTCTGTCCTTAATCCTAACAAGTGGTATCAGAGCGATATTAAGGACATTGAGAGGAGTCTACAGAAGTGTGAAGACCCTTCTAGACCCACCATGGCCTGTGGGTGTGCCTAAGTGGTGTTCTAAAGGTTGGATGTGTCTTCCGCTAAGGGGAAACTCTGCCGAAATTTCGTGGACGCCGACACTTGTGAAAATATCGAGGGAGCTGAGTGTGGACAGCAAAGGGGAGCTGAAATTCGTCATTTCTCAAGGAGAAGATGAATGAGAGAGGAGGAGATGCTAATGGAAGAGGAGCTGTAGCTGAGAAGACAAGTGAGCCGCCGCCATCAAAAGTTGAAGCTTTGGATGGCTCCAACTATGAGGAATGGAGCGGACGGATGAGGAGTGCCTTCAAACGCTACAAGCTCCTGAAGATTGCTGTTGGGGAAGAGAAGATGCCGGAAGAAGGCGAAGCACGTGAACGGTGGATTGAGAAAAGCGCGGTGCTTTTCGACCTCATTCTTCAATCGGTCAACAAGGAGATGTTCGAGCACATCAAGGATCTTGTGGAAGCGGATGATTCGGGTCCAAGGGCGTGGAAACTACTACGTGATGTGGTTCAGCCCAACACTCTCCTGATGGTGATCGTGCTCGAGAAGGAACTTGCTGCCATCTCCATGCGACCAGGGGACGATGTGAAGCCGGTCCTTGACAAGATCAAGGACACCTATGCAAGGATGGCAGCAGCGGGCAGCAGTGTATCTCAGCTGCAGCAGTGCACCAAGATCATCTCGGTGTTGGACAACTCTTGGGACAACCTCATCCCCACCCTCAACTCTCAGCAAGATCAATGGACACCTGAGTGGCTAAGGCAGCAGATTCTGCAGGAGGACTTCCGCAGACGCCATGTGGGAGGCGGTGCTGCCACTAAGACTGCTGAGGGGTATGGAGCTGCAGGGCGCAGCAGAGGAAGAGGGGGTTGGAAAGGCCGAGGCCGTGGGAGAAGCTTTGGCAGAGGTAGAGGCCGAGGTGACTATAATGAGGGGCATGGGAGCTCCAGTGGCAGGGGGAGTACCAGAATGGAGGGCACCTGCTGGTACTGCAAGAAGGTCGGGCATCCTTGGTTCAAGTGCTTCAGCAGGCCGGAGGGATGGTCACCTCCAGGCATGAAGCCGCCAAGTGGTGAACGCGCACAAGGTGGCGCTGTGCAAGGCTCAGGTGCACAAGGTGAAGGTGCACAAGGTAACGCCTATCCTGGGATGTATCTCATGGTTGAGGATGTGCATGGGCATGAGGGTGATGTGGGATCTGTGGGAAAGGTTGTGATGCACCCTCTCACGCACTGGGTGATTGATTCGGGTTGCACCAGTCACATGACTCCACGGGCAGATTTGCTTGATGAGGTAAAACCCCCTGGGAAGATCAAGTATGTGGCAGCAGCATCAGGTGCTTTGCTCCCTGTCATTGGTGTTGGGAATGCCAAGGTTAAGGGAGCTAATGGGGAGCTTGTGGGGCTTGGGAATGTTCTGCTGGTTGAAGGCTTGTCTGCTAACCTTCTCTCTGTGCGACGACTGCAGAAGAGCAAGGCCGAAGTGACCTTTGGACCAACCAGCTGCCGTGCTAAGCTTGGGAAGAAGGTGCTGTGGAGTCTGGAAGAGGAGACCAGCTGCATCAAGGACCTGTGGCAGCTGCCCATCATCCCATGGAATGGGAAGACTCCAACAGCAGCAACGGCAGCAGCGGCAAAGGCAACAGCAGGAGGAGATGCAACTGCACCAACTGATGGGGTCCTGGAAGCAGTCAAGAAAGTGCAGCAGCAGCAGACACATGGTGAGGTGCTTGCTGGTGTGGATGCAAGTGCGGCATGGGCTAAGGCTTCACCAAGGAGTGGAGAGGCCGATTGGGAGACATGGCATGAGAGGCTGTGTCATGTGAACTTCCCTATGCTGCAGAAGTTGGTGAAGGATGGGAGCCTGAAAGGATTGGAGGTAAAGGGGGGATTGAAGGAGATTGGGAGCTGCCCTACATGCTTGGAGACCAAGTTCTCCAAGTTCCCCTTCAACAGCACTACAGGACCAGCCAAGACCCCACTTGCACTTGTGCACATGGATGTGGTGGGGCCCACAAGAGCCCCTTCCCTCTCAGGCAGCCGCTATTTCTTGACAATTGTGGATGACCACACTCGGGCAGTGTGGGTTTACCCTTTGAAGAGCAAGGGGGAGGTGGCAGCGGCTGTCCTTAAGGAGTGGATGCCGAGAGCTCAGAGGGAATGTGGACACAAGGTGAAGGTGATCCGCAGTGACAATGGTGGGGAGTTCATTGGAGCTGATTTTGAGGGGGAGTTGAAGAGGAAGGGGATCCAGCATCAACTGACAGTGCCCTACAACCCGCAGCAGAATGGCGTGGCTGAGAGGTTCAACAGGACCCTGCAGGAGGGGGCACGCACTCTCCTTGGGCGTGCAGGGCTACCTGATCCGTTTTGGGTGTCTGCACTGAGGCAGGTCGCCCTTGTGAAGAATAGAGTGCTGGCTACAGTTGGGGATAAGGAGTGGATCCCATATACCAAGTGGTATGGGAGTGCTCCAGCTGTGAATATGCTGAGGGCATTTGGGTGCATGGTAGTGTTTCATGTGCCTAAGGAGAAAAGAGGGAAGTTGGAGGCTTCTGGAAGATGGGGTGTGCACTTGGGGATTGCAAAGGATCACAAGGGGTGGCTGCTATGGGACTTGACCACCCAGAAGTTGACAGTGTCAAGGGATGTGAAGTTTCTTGAGTCCCTGTACTACAAGGAATGGAAGCAGCAGCAACAGAAGCTTCCATCTACACCGCTCATTGTGGAGGCAGATGAGGTGCAGCAGCCTTCAAGACAGGTGGAGGTTGCAGTGTCAGAGGAGGAGATGTCTGGGGTGACTGAGGAAGGGGGAGCAGCTGAAGTAGAGCAGCAGCAGCAGCAGCATGAGTCTCCACCTCGAGTTCCACACCCGCCTGAGCGTCCTAGGAGGGATGTGCGCCCTCCAGTGAGGCTGACCTATGGGGGAAGAGGCAAGCCAAATGTGGTGCAGGCTGGGAGTGTGGTTGAGCAGATTGAGGAAGATGAGATCGCTCACTGCTACTGGGCACCAATCCCTGAGCCCAAGACTCGAGAGGAGGCCTTGAATGGACCAAATGGGGAGAAGTGGAAGGCGAGTGAGGATGAGGAGTTCGGGTCCCTGATTGAAAACGAGACATGGGACCTGTGTGACTTGCCTCCTGGAAAGAAGGCAATCACTTCCAAGATGATCTACAGGCACAAGTATGGACCTGAAGGGGAGCTGACCCGCTACAAGTCTAGGCTTGTGGCACGGGGGTTTCAGCAGACAAAGGGGAAGGACTATGATGAGGTGTTTGCTCCTGTGGGGAAAGGAACAACACTGAGGGTGCTGTTAGCGATAGCTGCACTCCTGGGATGGAAGATACGGCAGATGGACATTGTGACAATGAGTCCGCTGTGAAGCTCGCCAAGAATGCTTGTCTGCATGGGCTGACAAAACACATAAGGCCTAAGTGGCATTGGGTGAGGAGACTCCTTGATAAGGAGGTGCGGCTGGAGATAGTGAAGACCCATCAGCAGGCAGCAGATATTTTCACCAAGCGTCTGGCGGAGGCGGATCATTGGAAGGGCATGAAGCTTGCTGGGATGAGTGTGCATTGAGTATGCATGCTTGAGATGTTGGTATGGTGGATGATGGTTGGCAGCCAGAGGGGGAGATTGTTGTGTGATGTCATCATATGCTATCACATTCTGTCTGCCTCCCATCCCATGTTTTTTCAACTTGCATGTGTGGTTTGAATGTGCAAGCATTTGTGTGTGGTGTGTTCTGGAGTTTGGGAATGTGTTTTGTGTTATTCTGTCTGAGCAGGTATTTGTGATGATAGATCTTGAGAAGATCTTTCCGACGCAACAAGAATCGCTTCAATCGGAGCAAGAACGCGAAAGCTATGAAGATTCAAAGTTCATGAGCTTGCGTTACAATTGCGGCGGTTACTAAGTGAAGTTGTGGGGTGACTTTATATGGAGTTGGGACCTTTGGGGTTGGGGAAACTTGTCACTCTACTGTAACAGCTGCAAATTGGTTGGGAACAACCAAGCTAGGTTGGCAAGGGTGGCCAACTTGGATGGATTGGTTGGGAAGGGACAAAGGTCAAAGTTGAGGTTCCTATAGGGAGGGAATCTTTGTGCTTATGGGGTTTCCTTGGTTGGGGACTCTCTTGGGACCTTCCCTCTCATCCCTCTCTTCCTATCCCAACCTTTCTCTTGCTCCTTCTAATTCCTTGTGAGATTCTTGAACTTTGATTGAACTCTTGAGATTGAGTTAAGTTCTCCTCCTACAGCTTACCCCCTAGTGCGTCGAAAGCCATAGCGTCGCGAATACTTCATCAATCAACGTGATTCAAATTGGGAACGGTAGCTGAGATTAAGAGCTACAACATATCCAAGTTTCGCGACATTCCAACGGCTAGGTTTTTGTCGACGTCGTTTCTTGTGAAGACGACTTTTCTGTCCAGAATTTCGGATTTATATTTTGAGTAATTCTAGCTCCTAAGTTCACCTAGACTCTGTCCTTAATCCTAACATGAGCGACCTAGGAGGGATGTGCGCCCTCCGGTGAGGCTGACCTATGGGGGAAGAGGCAAGCCGAATGTGGTGCAGGCTGGGAGTATGGTTGAGCAGATTGAGGAAGATGAGATTGCTCACAGCTACTGGGCACCAATCACTGAGCCCAAGACTCGAGAAGAGGCCTTGAATGGACCAAATGGGTAGAAGTGGAAGGCGAGTGAGGATGAGGAGTTCGGGTCCTTGATTGAGAACGAGACATGGGACCTGTGTGACTTGCCTCCTGGGAAGAAGGCAATAACTTCCAAGATGATCTAAAGGCACAAGTATGGATCTGAAGGGGAGCTGACCCGCTACAAGTCTAGGCTTGTGGCAAGGGGGTTTCAGCAGACAAAGGGGAAGGACTATGATGAGGTGTTTGCTTCTGTGGGGAAGGGAACAACACTAAGGGTGCTGTTGGCGATAGCTGCACTCCTGGGATGGAAGATACGGCAGATGGACATTGTGACTGCCTTTCTGAATGGGATCATTCTGGAGGAGGTGTACATGAAGCAGCCAGAGGGGCTGGATGATGGGAGCGGCAGGGTCTGCAGGCTGAAGAAGACCATCTATGGCCTTAAGCAGGCGCCTCGTGCATGGTATCACAAGTTGGAGGAGGCGTTGCTGGCTGGGGGTTTCAAGAAGAGTGAGTGTGACCCCAGCCTGTTCTTGCTATAGGAGAAAGATGAAATCCTCATGCTCTTGGTGTATGTGGATGATATCCTTATCTTTTATGCATCAATTGATTTGCTGGACAGCGCAGAGCAGATGCTGGAGATGCAGTTCAAGTGCTCCAAGATGGGTGAGGAGAAGTACTACCTAGGGATGCATGTGAGAGAGATGTAGAGAAGGGTGTGCTGAGGTTGCACCAGAGGAAGTACTGTGAGGGGCAGGCTGTGAAGTATGGGCTGCAAGATGGGGGAAAGCCAGCAACACCACTACCTTCGGGGTTTACTGTGGAGCCATGTGCTGATGAGGAGGTAGTGGGTGAGAGTGACAGGAAGCTGTTTCATTCGATGGTTGGGTCGCTGAACTATGCTGCAAATCATACACGGCCTAACATTGCATTTGCTACATCACGGCTGGCTACATGGTCTCACACCCTAGTCATGAGCAGCTGGAAGCGGCCAAGAGGTTGGTCCGCTATGTGAGTGCTACGGCATCAGTGGGATTGGAGTACAGTGGAGTGAGGCAGCAGTTGCAGAGAGGTGCTGCAGGTGTAAAGAGTGGTGAGATGCTCTTGAGTTGCTATACTGACGCTAGCTTCTACTCAGTGAAAGCAGATGGCACCAGCATTGGGGGTTATGTGTGCTTGCTGGGAGGTGGTGCTGTGAGCTGGCACAGCAAGAAGCAGAATGAGGTGGGATTGTCCTCATGTGAGACTGAGTACATGGCCTTACACCATGATGCCAAGGAAGTGGTGTGGCTGAGGCGCTTGTTGGAGGAGTTGGGAGTTGGTCAAGAGGAGTCGACAGTTGTGTTATGTGACAATGAGTCTGCAGTGAAGCTGGCCAAGAATGCTTGTCTGCATGGGCTGACAAAACACATAAGGCCTAAGTGGCATTGGGTGAGGAGACTCCTTGACAGGAGGTGCAGCTGGAGATTGTGAAGACCCATTAGCAGGCAGCATATATTTTCACTAAGTGTCTGGCGGAGGCGGATCATTGGAAGGGCATGAAGCTTGCTGGGATGAGTGTGCATTGAGTATGCATGCTTGAGATGTTGGTATGGTGGATGATGGTTGGCAGCTAGAGGGGGAGATTGTTGTGTAATGTCATCATATGCTATCACATTCTGTCTGCCTCCCATCCCTTGTTTCAATCCGCATGTATGGTTTGACTGTGTGTGAAAGAATTTGTGTGTGGTGTGTTCTGGAGTTTGGGAATGTATTATGTGTTATTTTTTGTTTGAGCAGGTATTTGTGATGATAGATCTTGAGAAGATCTTTCCGTCGCAATGAGAATCGCTTCAATCGGAGCAAGAACGCGAAAGCTATGAAGATTCTAAGTTCATGAGCTTGCGTTACAATTGCGGCGGTTACAAAGTGAAGTTGTGGGGTGATTCTATATGGAGTTGGGACCTTTGGGGTTGGGAAAATTCGTCACTCTACTGTAGCAGCTGCAAATTGGTTGGGAAGAACCAAGCTAGGTTGACAAGTGTGGCCAATTTGGTTGGATTGGTTGGGAAGGGACAAAGGTCAAAGTTGAGGTTCCTATAGCTATAGGGTCTTATAGGGAACTTTGTGCTTATAGGGTCTTTTTGGTTGAGGACTCTCTTGGGACCTTCCCTCTCATCCCTCTCTTTCTATCCCAACCTTTCTCTTGCTCCTGTAATTCCTTGTGAGATTCTTGAACCTTGATTGAACTTTTGAGATCGAGTTAAGCTCTTCTCCTACAGCATACCCCTCCGTGCGTCGAAAGACATAGCGTCGCGAATGCTCAACTAATCGATGTGATTCGAATTGGGAACTGTAGCTGAGATTACGAGCTACAAGATATCCAAGTTTCGCGACATTCCAACAGCTAGTTTTTTGTCGACGACGTTTCTTGTGGAGACGACTTTTCTGTTCAGAATTTCGGATTTATATTTGAGTAATTCTAGCTCCTAAGTTCACCTAGACTCTGTCCTTAATTCTAACAGAGCGCGCCGTGTACTGTCTGCTGGAGGATCTCTGCGCAGCGAGGTAGCGGGAGATCGACGGCTGGCGTAATGCTGGTCCGCGGGCCCAGTCGCCCTGCCTGCGCTTCTAGCGTGGGTACCTGCATGCTTAACGGATCCCTTGAAACCGCCTAGAAGGTCGGCTTGTATGTCTTTGTTGAAGGGAAAACAGGGTTGCAGTGTCTTGCCATCCCCTAACGCGCGGGCAAAGACGGCGCCGCGAGCGATGGTGGCCGCAGTCCGCTGGCGTGAGCTGCCTCACAGCATGTATGCGAAGGAAGAAATGAAAACTAAACAGGGAGGAGAAGCAGGAGAGGGCTTGTATAGAGCAAGGAGAGGGCTCAGGAGTGCTTGTCCCCTTTAGCCGCCTCACAGCTTGTCCCCTTTAGCCCCCTCCACCCCCCCAAACCCCGCACTCACATATATGCTCACGCATGCATGCTCTCACACAGACATGAACACACACACACACACACACACACACATACACATACACACACACATACACATACACACACACATACACACATATACACATACACACACATACACACATACACACACACATACACATACACACACACACACACACACACACACACACACACACACACACACACACACACACACACACACACACACACACACACACACACACACACACACACACACACACACACACACACACCGACACAAATGCAAACATCGACATAAACGCACGCGCAAGTGCGCATGCTCGCACACACACAGAGGCACGCACACACAGACACACACACAAGGACACACACACACACACACAAGGACACACACACACCGATACATACACACACACATACACCCATACCCATCCCCCCAACCCCCTACACCTGCATGCCCACGCACCCACCACCCACCCAACTACCCATTCACACCACGCACCCCCCCACTTCCCCCACTCCTCCCCCCCCCCCCCCCCCACCCATACCCACCACCCACCCCCTCAACCCCCCAACCAACTTACCCACACACCCACCCATCCCCCCATCCCCACCCACCCCCACCCCCATCCCCACCCCGCCCCCCCGCCCACCCGCCCAAAAGTCCACCCTCCTACCCCCACCCCAACCCCCAACCCCACCCCGCCTGCCCGCCCGCACGCACTCACCCATACACGCACGCATGCACACACATGAGTGCATGAAAACACATTCTTTATGGCATTGATTGTGGCCTTAATATATTATGCATAGGGCCCATAACATGACTTCATTTTAAAGCCATGTGCTCACCATCATGACTATTATCCATCGCTCAACATCCATCACACACCACCATCAACCAACGCCCCTTCACCCACCGTGTTGCACCCATTCCCATGGCCATCCCAATACCCATCCCCATTGCTCACCCCATTGCCCAGCATCATTGTCATTGACCCCCATCACTTCTCACCACCTATTCATTTCTCCTCGCCTCTCAACTATCACCCATCACCCACGCATAGCCACCACTCACCCTCTCGCACCCACGTGTTGAATTCAAGGCCGTTGGCGGAAAGAAACTTGAGAGAGGCTGGTTGGAACTGGAATGAATGCCCGGAAGGCCCTCAAAC